TTCAATTAACATAATGAAGAATTTAAGAAAGCAATAAATTAGTATGTCTGATTTTTCCATGGAATTTTAAAGGGATAGATCAGGTGCATCCTTTTATGGATACAAATTAAAGACTTTTGAAAGCACAGCAAAGTGTTATTTTCTGTTTTCCTTGTTGAATAAATCATGGCTTCAGAATGACTTTAATGTAAACTTCAATTTTTCAAAGCCATTATAAAGCTGCATACTTAGTTTCTTTTAATGTAATGATATATGTAGGTTGCCAAGAAATAAGAATAGAAGTAATAAATGAGAGTTTAAAATAGGAAAGAATATTTTTCAGCAAGAATTCTCAGAAATTTTTTCCCTAGACATTGTAGAGAGAACAGTTGAGAAAAAGGAAAACAGGAACTATTCATAATGATAAGAATGAACAGAGGCAACATGCTTGCTGACAAAAACATCCCACAAACTTGCTAAGTTCTGGCATGTCTCTCTGAAGAGAAAGAAAACTAACTTTCTTTCTGTGGTTTGTTGGTGAGGCAGAGTGGCAATGGAAGAACAAAATCCAGTAACAGAGGAATAAATCTTTTTGTATTTAGATCCCTAAAGTCGATCTAAGCAACCTCTCTAGGCCAGTCTTATTGTCAAAGTATGAAATCTGCTGCCTATTAAGAGGTGGCAAATGTACTTTTGTGCATATGGCAGCTACAGTAGGCAATGAGAAATAGTGCAAAGAGCCAAGAAGGTATTATCATGCTAAACTTTAAGTGAGTATGGGAAAGACAGATCTGTTTCATTCCTTCATCTAACAACAGAAATGTAAATTAAAAAAAAAAATGGATAACACTACAAGTATAATCAATATTTTTCAGTCTGTATACCAGTGAGATAAGTTGCATCTCAAGAGTGATTCTGTCATTAAAATGGTAAAATATTCTGCAGTCAAGAAAAAAATTTCTTGACATTTTCATTTAGTCTGCCACTCCATCTACAGAAGGCTTCAGAGTCCAAGTATAGTCAAGTATAATTTTCCCATTTCTCCATGTACCAGGATAAGAAACTAAGTCATAAAATTCCTATACAAGCAGTTTTGATATCACACAGCAAGAAAACATTTTCTAATTTTGCAGACAGTGGCTCTGTGGATTTTTTTTTCTAGGCTTTTAATTGTCCTTGCATAAATCTTGCTGTATTTTAGGTTGAAAATTTTCCAGCATTCATGAATTGAGGATATCACATCTTTTCACTTGTATCTTATGGGTAAAATAATGCACAGGGTTTCTCTCAGGCACACTTCTACTAGACCAATGTCCTAGGGTGACTCCTAAACCAAGATAACCACTAAACCCAGGACTTCTAACAGATTATTTATTTTCATTAGCTGTAGCTTCCCACTCTGTTTTCTCTTGGGAGTTGCTGGAAACTCCCTCTACATCAATTTTTTATCATCCTTTGTGAGTTGATCTCCCTCTCCATTGCATATCAGCAAGTCTAGTCATAATGAATGAATGGGGTGTACAGACAGGACCCAGGAAGGAAATTTACATTCCTCTGAGTCTCCAGTTTGTTTCTGTACTCTTCTACCTTCCAGAAATTAGCAGAAGGTATGTCTTTGACTCCTCTCACCTATTCTTCCCCTCTGCCAGCTAATCTGGAACATTGTAGCCCAAAAAAGAACTTCTTCATTGTATTAATCTGTGATTAAATTGCAAGCTTCTCTTTCCCAGAACAATTTAAAATGTTACCTGTACCTTTGAAAGTACCTCCCTAAGAAGTAGGAAGCTGTGACTCCTCTATATACACTTTTATGGGTTAAAAAACATATTCTGGATGTTTTAAAGGTACCATCATCATGCTGGCAAGTAAAAAAATTGTCAGTTTACAGTGCAATGGGAGAGAGAGAAAAAAACACAAAAAGAGCAAGAGACATATGCAGAACAGGCAGCTGTAGAAAAACACAGGCAGGATGTAATGCAGAATATACAATGAATTATATGGGGGCATCTATATAGATAGAGAACTTGTGCATAAGAATGCGTTGTCTCTTCAAACTTGGATTTGGTCTGCTGTGTCTAATTTTGGGTAAATAACTTCCTTTCAGAAATTTGGAAGTAAAAATAAGATTTTGCACATTCATTTCTATTTCAGAACAGTTTAAGGAAAATCCTGGAGGTTTTTTGAAACTTGGTTTGAGATTCCAGAATGCATTGGGTTCAAGTTCAGCTGGCAAAATGCAAAAAAATGCCAAAACTTAGTGCAAAATAGATTTTACTATTTCTCTAAGGGATGGACTAAAATATCTTCCCAGTGTTCTTTCTTTTTTTTTTTTTTTTTGTTTTGTTTCAGAGTACCTTTCTAGTTTCTAAACTTATTTTCATCTACTGTATCAAAGTAGATAGTCTCTATTTTTTTCCAATGGAGCCCTATAAAAATGTACAAGGGGAATATGAGACCACAAAACACATACCTAATGGTAAGATAAAATGTGTATGGGGTGAATATTACCAGACAGAAAAGTGACAGCTTTATGACAGCCTGAAATGTGTCAGCATACAAATGAATTACACTAATAATTTCCAGAAACTAAGAAAGTATCTGGTATAGGGAAGTGCTTCCTCACTCCTCTCTAGCCTTACTGCATTCAGATACCTCAGTAACAACCAAATGGGATTTTATCAAACTTTTGAGACATTTCACTTCTGAATTGGACAGCAGTGTGAGAAATTTCCTTCTAAGAGTAAATGGCTTGGAAAGATATAAGCAGCAGAAATTAAGCACTTAAAATGGAAATAACATCTTAACCACAACTGCTAAACTTATACCTCTGTCACCTCAAGCTGTGAGTTCATATCTCAAAAGATATGTGACAACAGGCTGACTCAGTGCTCAGATGAGAGCCATTTAGGAAACATCCAAGCAGAAATTCCCATAGCAGCATTCCCACTGGGCTGCTAATGAAGTAGTACCCATTACATGTGTTTAACCCTATCCAAGACAAGACATATAATTATTGTCTTCTCTGTCTAGTGACGTAGTGACTCTGACTTTACAGATGTGAAACCTAGTATCCTGGTCTGAGGCCAACTTGAATAGTTTCTATCATCCCTCAACCTCATTTGGTTATACAATTCTCTGTTTCTTGCTCTGGAAGAGTCAAGGTTTAGCCATCAACAGATAGGCATTCACTGGTCTTCACTCTCATTTTGCAGCCATGCAACAGGAGACTGCTAACCACAGAAGACAGTTCTCAGCCCTTGTCTTGTTTTCCTAGACGAGCCAGACAGAGTTTTTAGTCTGGTAGCCATGAATTTAAGTTATTAAACAAGACACTTCATCCTAATTGTATGACCTCTGACTGAAGCAGAAAGGCAGATCTGCCTCCTTTTACAACTTGATTGTCCAATGAGGAATCATATTTACATACTAGTAGGTAAATGGTATGGCTGAATTTCAGTCCACCTGCCTAATATCCTTCTGTCGCCCTGTTCTTTTGAGAGTTTTAATGTTCTTCTAAAGGTTCCTATGCCTTCTGATATTTACATATTTCAACCGAGTTTTCTCACGCATGTTTATGTAAATAATGATTGTTTTGCTTTCTTCTTTGAGGGTGGAAAAAATAGATGGACTGTTGGTTTGACCAGTGTGGTTGAAGAGGTGGCAGATTCACCCTCCAAACCACCGTCACTTTTGCTATTCTATATATAGTGGAGTCAGAAAATAAAGTTTGCTTTTTTGGGTCCTTTTTGGGTTCTTTTTCTCTCCTGTTACATTACATCTGCTTCTGTGAGTTATTTCATGTCACAGTGTGACATCCTTCAGCCTATTAAGATGACATAAAATTATTTTCCAATTTTCAATGAACACTTTGATTTAACATCCATGCACATCTTTAAAAATGTCAGATTGTGACAATTCTTATATATGTAGCATATATAGAAAAGCTGTTAAAACATGGAAGTCTTGAGATCTGTTTGCCTGTAATTTATTTTGTACATGAGAATGTGTCATAAAAGTAAAGGATGTTCATAGGGTCTGATTTCCCCAATACACAACTTCATCTAAAGAAAGTGATTTATCGCTCTTAAAATTCCAGCTTTGAATATTTAATCCTGCTGTTGTACTGCTTCAAAACAGCCATTAGTAAATTCAGTCTATTTTCAGGTGAGAGCCTTAAGGCAAGGTCTTCCCACATGCTTTGCCATTTTTCCAAGCACTGGGCTTTTTCCTTTTTTTGTATGTTTTCTGTGTCCTCTGGATGACGCTAGTTCAGAAGAACATTTCATAGAAATTTAATGGCCCTTGTCAAGTAGGTTGATCTACAGACACACATACTCTCTTAACATGCTCATGCTACTACTAAAACTCATGGTTAGTATGCTCCTTAAATATCTGTAGACATTCTTTAACTTTGATTTTATGAGGAAATTAAACTAATACTGAAATAAGAGATTTTCCAGAGATCACTTGAGCTAACAAAATGAATGTATCAAAAATGAATGTATCAAAAATGCATGTATCAAAAAAATGAATGTATCATGTTTGTAGAATCATATGTTGAATTTTAAGAAACCTCTGCCATGGTGCAAAAGACATAGGAAAGAGAGAAGAAAAAAAATCTTTAAAGCTTCTTGCAAAAAGACAAATACCAGAGAAGACCAGGAATGCAAAGAACTCAGATAAAGGAGGCCCCTCTGTCAAGGATGATGGACTTATCCAGATAAGATAGCAGAAGAACAAAAGCATATGCGCAGAGGAGAAGAGTTCAAAAGTTCAATGCAGAGGAAGACTATGGTATCAGCCTCAAAAGACCACCAGAGACCCCCTAAAGACCACCACAAAAAACCACGCATGCCCAGAAGGGCGTGGACCTATTTAGCATGAGAGGCGAAGACAGGCGGGGCCAGGGGTTGAATATGCATAGAAAAGTTGTGTAATGTATTACATATGGAACACCTTTGCGAATAAAACTGTGGGACAAACTCCAGCTCGGGACACAAGATTTTGGAGAGCGATCTCACTTGTGCCGGCCGCTGTCATACATACCCACTTCATAACTACATCGAGTTGTGGAGTCTATTTATTTATTCCGCGTATCGCTTCATTTGGCGACCACGAAGGGACTTCTCTGCTCGTCTGTGGGTCCAGTTGAGGGCAGACACCCTCAGGCGCCGCGGGGCACTTCCCCGGAGGGATTCTGTGCCTCGGCTGTACACTAAGGAGAGCAGACCACGGCCCGTCGATAAGCGGACCAAAAGCGGTATGTATTATTTTCTTTTGTTAAGGAACAGCACTGATAAGTTGCATTAAGACGTTTTTGCGCACAGGTTTGCCAAAGGGGCTTGCAAGCAGATCAGCGGAGGAGAGGTTCCCCCCCGAGGCTGATTGCACAGCTCGGGGAAGGAGAGAGGTTGCACCCCCCCAAAGCTGATTGCGCGGCTGGAGGGGGGGAAAAGGTTTCCCCATGGTCGATAGAGTGGCTTGGGGAAAGGGAGAAATCCCAGTTTCAGTGTGGTGTGTTTGTTACACCTGGCCGTGCGTGCTTGCATACGTGTGGGTGTCTGTGTGAGTTTAAGAGGGTGAGGTAGCTCGCGGCGCGGCGTTGCGATATTGCTGGAAAGCGTGGGGGTGAGGCAGCTCTCAGCCAGCACTGTCTGATAGAGCAGACAGGCACATCTGCTTAGTGGGGTAAGCAGTGCGCATGCAGGGCAAGGGCTGTCTCTGGTGAGTGAGAGCGCAGCTCAGAACTAAGAGAGTGTGACGTGGCAATGCTAGGATACCTGAACGCGGTGCGGCGTTGTGATATTGCTGGAAAGCACGGGGGTGAGACAGCTCGCCGCGTGGCGTTGCAATATTGCTGGAAAGCGCGGGGGTGAGACGTGGCGGTGCTAGGATACCTGAACACGGCGCGGCATTGCGATATTGCTGGAAAGCGCGGGAGTGAGGCAACTCTCAGTCAGCACTGTCTGATAGAGCAGATGGGCGCATCTGCTTAGTAGGGTAAGCAGTGCACATGCAGGGCAAGGGCTGTCTCTGCTGAGTGAGAGCGCAGCTCAGAGCTAAGAAAAGTGCTCTAAGCCCAGTGTGGCCAATAGCGCAGTGGGTGTGCACAAACTGCGGTTTATAAAATTGTTTTAAACACGGCTAGCTACTAGCGCAGCTAGTACAAGTTAGGACTTGCAAGCACCACTTACAAGCATCACTGGTTACTAAGTGCTTGTTATGCGGTGATACTGCCGTTCAAGATCAAGACGTTCAAGATCAAGA